ATCCCTTATTTCAACTGATTAACTGATTCCCTGATTAACTGATTATTTCAAGAGGGATAAGGGACAAAAACTCCGCGCCGAAAAAATGTGGCAGCCATTTTTATGCTAATGAAGCGGGGGAGATTTAAATCCCTGCTTCATTAGCAATTGCAATACGTCTAATTTGCATCCCTTTTACGAAAAAGGGATGTAGTCTAGACGTAGCCCAAGAGAGGAGAAACTGCTTTTGTACTTGGCTAGCCATTCACAGTCTTTGTTTAATCCTAAACTGACGGTGTCAAATTTGCAGATGAACTGTAGCTCAGCAGTTTCTCTTTAGAGTCTGGTCTTGAAGTTTTTTTTCTCCACATCAGATGCCAGAAGTGGACCTCACCCTCCTTGACTGAAATTTCCACTACATGCATCTGACCAAGTGGGTCTTTGCCCATGAAAGCTTATGCTCCAATATATCTTAGTCTGTCAGGTGCCACAGGACTCCCTGTCACTTAATCCACTGAAGTTTAGAATGGTTTAACTTTGGAAAGTAACTTTGTAAAAATAGAATCATGGAACTCTGTGTTTATCTTACAGTGAGTTCCATATCAAATACCCTCAATTCACAGTTAAAAAAGATGATATTTTAACCTAATTTTATCTTTACTAACTCATTTTGGAATTACCAGTAATTGAGATGCCTGCAAATTGAGGCAATTTACATATCTGCCAACATTTGCAGACAAACACCCTAAATTCTGTTTGAGACAGTTTTCCCATTTGTCCTTTTCACACCCTTTTATGCATTTATTCACTCCACACATTTCAACTAGCATTCATTCCACACACATTCTTCATCCACCTATGAGCATAATCCCCAGACAATTTACTCCATCTACCTCCACTCATTCTGCATAGCCACACATTGACCTTCTATAGCAGGGGTCTCCAAACTACGGCCCGCGGGCCGGATGCGGCCCGCGAGGCCCTCTCATCCGGCCCGTGGAGACCGTCCCTGGGGCGCCGCCGAACGGGCCCTTCTTGCCGCGGGGGGGGAGGGGCCCTGTCAGGGGTGTGCGGCGTGTACTCACGCCGCGCCGGGGCAGGAGAAGCGGGCCGCTCTGCTGACAAGCGGCTGTGCGGCGGCGCAGGGGGCGGGGGTTAGCACGGCGGCGTTCCCCAGCCCAGACTGACAGGGCAGCCGGCCAA